TCCCAAACGGCCCCGATCTGGCCAACGGGCTACTGGCGGGATGCACGAAACAACGTCCCCGAATACCCTCCGCTCGTTCATTCGACGAAACATTTGCACAGTGCCGAAGCAGCAGATCCGTTCTCTTAGCGGGAATATTTCAGGAAGCGAGTGGGCAGCAGTGGGTGGGAAGGGACAAATATTTTTCAAACAGAAAGCACTTGACTCTTGAACTCGGCTCCTGGGCCTGCCCACTCAAATCTGTGTTAAGCAGAGGGAGATAATGTGGGGCATTACTTTTATTTTTATTTTCCTGATAGAATGCAAAAAAGAAGTTGGAGTTAGGCATTAATCATAGTGTTTCTTTATGAGCTGGCAGAACTTCTGCACCCTGGTAGGCTTATCCTTGCTAATACAAGATCTCCTTCCAGCATGCAGCTATTCAATCTTATCTGGGGAGGGAGAGCGTTGGTTTTTGTTGTGTTTATTAGAGAGGCACCAATGCTTATCTTCCCTTTCCCAAAGCACTCCGAAGGGAGCGACGCCACTCAAAAGAACTGCTCCAGTGTAAACCAAGCCCAGCTCAAAGCTGAATCAGGCCCTGCACTGTGCAGGTTGGCAAGGCAGAGATTAGTGGGGCTTTGTTGGGTTACGTGTCAGGGAAATATGGAACTAACTACAGCAGCTGGGTGCCTTGTTACCTTGTTAAAGCTTTGAAAGGAAGCATTTTTCTGCAGAAGCTTTTTTTTTTTTTTTTTTTTTTTTTTAAAGACAGGGAGAGACAGAATAAAACATGTAGATCGACTGACAGCTCAAATAGAGCAAACTGGCTATTACCTGGAGGTATAGTGTCTCCGTAAGACCAAGGGGTGGGGGCAGAGACCAAGCACAGACGTATTTTGAAGATGCAGTTAACCAAGACCAAAGTTAGAGGAAGTAATCAGCAAAGAAAAGAAAGAAAAAATAGAAGCAATCGCTAGCTGTGACCAAAGCCTCCCTGACAATCACCCAGCTGGTATTCCTGTCTCCACCACAGCAACCACACTGTTCAGCAGACCCTCGGTCCATCCCGACTGCTAGCTTTCTCTTTTCTCTGAGCTCATTCAGCACATGGCAAAACTCCTGAAACTCCAGGGCAGGCAGCTGTGCTGCCATCTGACCTCAAGGCACACGTCTTCCTTATCCCCGCAGAGTGGGTGGCTGTCATGTGTTTTGAACCATGAAGGGTTTTCTGTCCCTAGGGGAATCTGGGCTTGGCTGCTGGACATGCAGACAGCCAGCGAAGCCACTTGCTGGATGGGGGACTCTGCCAATTAGCTAATCCTGTTCTAATGAGTCCACAAGGATGCCAGGCTTCCAAGGAGGTGTGCTGGTGCAGGCGTGACTGATGGTCTCCCGATCACCAGTGACACCACCGTGAGGGGCAGCTCTTGTTACAAAGCCAAAAATCCTAGCAGATTTCCTTCAGACTGAAAACCCTGTTGAGTGTCAGGCCATGAACCCAAGGACTCCCATTTTGGTCTCCATCACCTGCTGCCCATATCTCAGTCCTTCACTCGCCCAGGTTCACAGCGAAGCTGTGCCTGGCTTGGGGTTGCTGAAGTAAGAGAAATGCTGCGATCTTGTGCTGTAGCCGATAACCCTTCCTTGGAGGAAAGCTAGCGCCCCGAAGGTCCTTGCCATGCATGGGCATCAGTCACCCACCTCTGCCACCAACACAGGGAGCTTCTGACACTTCCCATCCCCATGACAAAACCTGCTCCTCTTGCCTTTGCTTTCCTATCCCCTGAGGCTTACTTCGAACCAACTCCAAAGCTCAAAGCACAGACCAGTTCCATCAAACCATCTGCACACTCCATTTCAGGGCTCTTTTCTCAGCCTCTCTTGGCTCAGCTCGGTGGGATCTTCCCTCCCGGGACACAGCTCTAGACCTGCCTCTCTCTCCCACAGGCTCAGCAACCGGGTATTCACAGTTCAGGCTGGCCTGGCAGGAGCATTTAAAAATCAAGCCCCCAAATAGTCCTTAAGATCTAATATTTCATTTCACTCATGGTCACTACTTTAGAAGGCACCAAGCTTCCCATTGCTCCATCGGAAAAGGATATACTGGAGGCAGAGGAGGATCCTCATGGGTGAGCACACAGAACTCCCAATATATGTAATGGCAATAGTACACAAGCTTATAGGGAAAGCTGGAGAAGCCATTCACTTTCCCATTATGCTTACTCGTGTGCTCCTCCTGCCTTCCTCTAACACCCCAGAACTGTGGTCACTCTCGCACCACGAAAACTGCTAAGACAAAAGAGCACAGGGAAAAAAACTTCTCTGTCTAACTCTAGATTTATGCACAGGCATACCTACACATACACACACACACAGGTGAACTGTTCTAATGAGAAACACTCCAGCCTGGCACCCTCACTGCAATCTTGCTATGCTAAGACATGATATAATAAAAAAGTTTTAGCAACTTGGTTATTAATAACATGTACCTGGAGTATTTGGACAGCTGACAAACAAATCATCTTTGTACAAAGGGTTGTTTTTTCCCCTTTTCTCCCTAACTCTTCTTTTTGCAGGTTAGCATCTGACTAACAGCGTCTGCTAGGAAATCCAGGCAGGATCTTACCACACCTGTACGTAGGAGGGCAAGGAGAAGTCAAGGCAGACGGGCAGTGGCAACAGGAAAAGCTGTCTGCCATTCGGAGACAGGTATTTAGCTCGATTCTAAGGACAGGCATCTAAAAAACTGATTTCCAATCAACCCTGTATTTTATATAACTTAAGGGCTATCAAGAAATTTGCCTTGTGCACTGTTTGTGAATAAGAAAATAAACCACACAGAAAAGATATCAAATCCACTGGTTAGGCAAAGGCGGTCCAGGCTAACGTGATGTACCAGGAGCGCGCTCCGTAGCCAGGGACAGCCTGCTGGCTGGTGGCCAGGAGCTCACAGCAAACGGACCTCAAACTCTTTAACCCCTTTAAGCGGATTGATTGCAATCACCTGACCAGAACATCTGATACAGCTACTATATATCCACCACAGAAAGGCATTATCAGTGCCAGACAACTAGCTGGGCATGGGGAAGGCACAGGATAGCGTGCATATGCACGCATACGTGCAGACGTATAGCTGGACAGCTATACCTAAAGGGATGCGCACATTTGGGGCTACACGTACCAACCCACTCAGGAACCTTCTCTTCCCGTTTTTTCCCCAGTTTTAAGAGAGGTAAACTGAACTAAGTACTGATAAGGAAACACACAGCCATGCTTCTTGTAAGATACGCACAGATGTCTTGGCGCACAGTCCCAGTCCTTCAGGTAGCTCCTCTAACACGCAAGCACCATCCTTACCTGCAAAGCTAGGACAGTTAATCTCATTATGCAAGCAAAAAGGTTGCGCTCTCCTCTAAGGCCAGGAGCTTGGATCACAGGGTTTTGTGGTTTGTTTTGTTTTTGTTTTTTTATTTTTGGAAGCTGATATGGCTGGAGGCTACTCTTAATCACAAAGGAGCCAGGAGAGAAACAAGCCCCAGCAAGCAGCTTGCACATCAACTCCCTGGATTCTCTAGGAAAGCAGCAGCAGCAAAGGAAGACAGAGTCCCAAACAAGCCCCCACTTCCTCAGCAAAGCTTCAAGCCCCCAAAATGGCTTGAGGCTTCAGTACAAGCTTTGTGCTGTGGCTCTCCTTCTGGGAGGGAGTAGAGCAACATGCTGAATCTGATGAACACCCAAAAATACTTCTTAAATTCCAGATGCTGACACATCAAAATGAAAGGTCAGTGGTGGGGAGTATATTTCAGCTTTCTTAGATCTATTATTTTGCAGTTAAAGCTTCAAAATCATTAAACTAGACGTTTTCAAGAATATTCAATTCTTCAGTTGTCAGTTTTCAAACAAAATTCACTTCAATTAACATACCGTTAGAGTAATTTCAAAAATAAGGAGTTGAGACTGAAACATTTAAAATAATTACCTCAGGTCACCTAGGCACAAACATTTGCAGAACGATTTTTTTCCCCCTCTATTCAAGATTTTTTTTTTATTTTTCTTTTTGGAAATCTTGAAAACTTTCCTATACCTGAAGAAAGAAAAACAAAAAACCTTCCCTGCTCCGCTCTGATTGCAACTTAACTTTGCAGCTAGCTTCGGGAGCAAATACCGAAGTGCTCTGAAGTGCTGCTTAAAAATAAAATAAAAAGTCACCAATATGCTATTACTCTGAGATGAAAAAGGAAGTGGAAAGAGCCCAGAACCAAGCAGCAAGTTTCAGAACAGCAAGTCAGGCTGAAACGAGAGCAACAAAAGCAGCCGCTCAGTCCTAGGCAGGCAAGGGGGAGCCGGGGCGGGGGGTGATTTAGCCTCCCTGATAGCAGCAACAGCAATGGGGCCCTCACCTCTGTCCTGGTCCTTTACTGTGATACATCCGATCAAGTGGGAACGGGTACTTGCTGTCCCTCTGCTAACGCGCCGAGCGGAAACCACCCCAACCTCGTGCCCACCAGGCTTGCAGACACCACAAGCTCTGCTTCAGCTGCCCAGCAAGCTGCAGCCACCCCACTGGGGGCCAAGCCCTGGCTGGAAGCCACGGGCACTTGGCACCTCAGCTTGACAAGCAGGGAGAGACCGTCAGCATCCCA